GCTATAATAATATACAATTATAAAATTCAATAAATCAACTTTCATTTTAAAGAACAAGTTTGGATTAACCTGGCCATTGCTAATTCATTCATTCATTCATTATTCATCCAATAATATGAACAAGTGAAAATACAATACAATTAAAGTAATTTAACAAATAAGTCTGCTTGAGACGATATATAACTGACGTTGGCTAGGATTAACTATAGTGTGAATAAAATCTCATTAAAAAGCAAAGTATAGCCTAACCAATAAAGTAATATCAATAAAATGCTATAATAATATACAATTATAAAATTCAATAAATCAACTTTCATTTTAAAGAACAAGTTTGGATTAACCTGGCCATTGCTAATTCATTCATTCATTCTTTATTCATCCAATAACATAAACAAGTGAACACAATACAATTAAAGGAAATTTAACAAATAAGTCCGCTTGAGACGATATATAACCGATGTTGGCTAGGATTAACTATAGTGTGAATAAAATATCATTAGAAGCGGTTTGGCGCAGCGTGAAAGGTGGCTTCCCAACCTTTGGTCGGGGTTTCAATCCCTCGCTGTGCATTTCGCTTGTGTCCTTGAGCAAGGCACTTTATCTGCATTGCTTCTCTCCACCCAGGAGTATAAATGGGTACCTGGTGGGGTTGCTTGATCCTGCGCTGAATACAGCAGCAACTTATGCATGTGGATCCAATGACCAGGGACAGAAGCGCTTCGTATCTGCAAAGAAAGGCGCTATATAAATAAATATGAATAGAATAGAATAAAAAAGCAAAGCATAGCCTAACCAATAAAGTTATATCAATAAAATGATATGATAATGATGACATGAAAATATACAATTATAAAATTCAATAAATCAACTTTCATTTTAAAGAACAAGTTTGGATTAACCTGGCCATTGCTAATTCATTCATTCATTCATTATTCATCCAATAATATGAACAAGTGAAAATACAATACAATTAAAGTAATTTAACAAATAAGTCTGCTTGAGACGATATATAACTGACGTTGGCTAGGATTAAATATAGTGTGAATAAAATATCATTAAAAAGCAAAGCATAGCCTAACCAATAAAGTAATATCAATAAAATGATATGATGACATGAAAATATACAATTATAAAATTCAATAAATAACAAGTTTGGATTTATTTAATTTTATAATTGTATATTTTCATGTCATCGTTATCTTATCATTTTATCAATATTACTATATTTGTTATGTGTTTCATTGGACATTTTTAGTTTTACCGAGCCATAATAATATAAACAAAATGTTTTTTTTTAACTGATTTTTACATTTTACTTGAGAACAACAATTGCATTAAAAAAAAAACAAATCACACGGCATTAACATGCACTAGCATCTATATACGCATATTATACTCATAAGGACTTGTGGGTTGAAAATGCACCAAGACCAAATACCAGAATCAATATTAATTCAATATCATTCATCCAATGGGATATAATGAAGCAAGTCTGTCCTGGCTGATATAAATTAAAATGCCAATGCTGAGAAAAAAAAAAATGAAGACAACTATAGGCGGCGAACTGTATAATGGAAACATAAAATTTCAATAGTTTTATTTTATAATTGACTTTATACTGTAATGAAAGATTAAATAATAAATAAAGAGAAAATAGTATATTGCTCGAAACATATAAATTGTTGAAAATATTGTAGAATTTGTAATACAATATAACGAAATTTTGAAAAGCTATAGGCCTATGTTTTTCCTTAATTACTTCGTATTACTTGTAAATATTATTAGTTACTTTATAATCATAATTCAACATCATTGAAAACCTAAACTGAGACAACTCTCAGTTTGTAAGTACTGTAGTATTAAATTAAATTTCCATGCTATTACTTTCGAAAATTATAGAAACAATAGGCCTATAGAAAAAAAAATTCAATAAAAACCCTTTATTGTTGAATGAAAATTAAATAGAAAGAAAATATGAAAACATTTTCTCTTTTTGTTTAAGGTATTATGGGGGAAATACTGTCCTAGGAGGAATATTACAGGGGAAGATAGCACGGAGGGATTTGTCGGGGAAGATTCATTTTTCTCGAGATACACCCTAATTGCACCAAGATAGGTGGCGCTCTATATCTAATGGCTCTGCCCTTGAGTGTAATGCTGATTCTTATGGAACGTGCGAACACTCTATAATAGAGTGTTCGCACATAACCGAAGATACTAACGGCGTTCCATAGATTCTTGTGTATAATTCTTCGAAACAACTGTGGCCAAGCCTACCGCTGCCCTAGCTAGGCTAATTTGTTTTTAGTCCTTTAAGGCATGATGTCAGAGTGCGTAAATTTATCTGCTATTCTCAAAAAGCAAGGTGAATTAGTTTTAGTAAGTGTTGTAATTTGGCTTTTGTTTTTCAGCCTAGTCTAGAGCCTACGGCCCATCTGTCGTACTTAGCCTAAGTCTTAGGCCTAGCCTATGCTAGCTAGGCCCAGGGATACCCTGGCCTAGGCCTTAAGCTAGCCTGTATGTATTGTAGGCCTAGGCTAGGCCTACCGTGTGGTGTCATGTGAGCCATGGTCTTGGTCCTAGCTTAGGCCACGGCCTAGGCTATGGACCCTGATGTTACGCAATAAAAAATGTGCTTGACATAGGCCCTAGGCCTACTTGGAGGTCTAGTTAGGCCCTGGCTAATAAGCTCAGGCCTAGGCCCTAGGCCTAGTATTTAACGCTGTGGCTAAAGATACGGTACCGTATTTGTACTTCAATTTGCTGAAGGTACAGTAAATGGAATTATGTAAGCATCACCCAATGAAGAGCCAGAAGGTGCGTGTCGTCAGCCCCAGGCCAGCTTGCTTATGCCTTCGCTTATATAATAAGAAACTTGACATACTAGGCCTACTCAGTCTTTGGTCTATGGTCTAATCTATTTACATGACAACGCATGCACTAAAAAACTGAATATACTGTAAATTCTTATAGGATTACTAGCACTTAAATGGGCCTGCATCAAAAGTATATTAGATAAATTTGACACTAATAATCACAATTGTGGAAACTCATTCTCTTGATCTGAATTCTAGCCAAACGATTAGGGGAAGTACCATGACAGCGACGAAGTCTACGTAAAGTTGGGTAAATCAAGGAGGTGTCGGTTATGCATTCAAAGTGTATGAATATGTTGGCCGGATTGTAAAGCGTGGTAATTTCGAATATATTACAGTATAACCTAGGCTTCTTGAATAAAACTTGGGATGAGATTTTGTGGGTTGAGAACTTAACCATGGATGAAACTGATATATGTCACCCAGATCGATCTGTCACTACAGCAGAGCCGCTGCGACAAACGAAGAATCCAAGCTTCGCAAAGAAGTAAAGCAAGGCCTGGTGGCATATGCCAAGAGTTTGGTGCAGGATTCAGTCCTTGTTTGATAATGGCTATACACTCTATAGATAAATGACATGACTCTTACTGGAACCATACGCCTATTTATCGATGACAGTACTAAGTACAGTATTCTACTTTTTAAAGTTATTGTTTGCATTTCACCGCTCATCGTGGGTGATCTGCAAATGCCAGTCTTGAAAGATGACGTAAAGCATATTCTGGCTCTTCATTGCGTGATGGTGACGTAATTCCATTTACAGTTCCTTTAGCAAATTGAAGTAGAAATACAGTACCGTATCTCTAGCCACGGCGTATTATTAATTATGGGATGAGGCAAGACTTTTTTATACGCAGTGTCCAGGCCTTGGCCCCTATGCTTATGCCGAGGCATAAACATTAATCATAGGCTATGATTACGCCGCTTTATTGAGTGCGTGCAGGGCAGCTTATGTCACTTCCCTCCACCCACAAGATTTCAGACGCTCCATCATGCCTCACATACTGCTTGTTGAGGTGATGCTATAGTATTAGTAGCAATCACATGATGATATATTTACACCATCTTTTCATCATTGTTAATAAATACTATTCAATTGTAATTTCATTATTTTGTAGGAAGATACACCCATACCAAAGCCAACCAAAAATGGTAATTATTTTGTATTATGCTTTCAATATTTCCTACAAAACTATCCAACTATGAACTTGGTTTTACTGAGCAGAAATTTTCCATTGCTCTCACATAGCATATTTTTTATTGCATAACACACCTTTCACAGCTTTATTCCTTTCATAGCATACATCCTCTGGCCTCATGTCATATTATACATTGTGTTGATCCCTTTCATAGCCATACATCTCTTTCATAACATAGATCCTTTGTATAGCACTCATCCCTTTTGTAGAATACACCCTGCATCTCATACATTCGATTCATAGGATATATACCTTTCAAAGCATAACATTCCATTTAATACTGTGAATTTAACACTTGCACAGAATGTATCCTTTTCATATCATGCACCCCTTTCATTGCCTGCTCCCTTTCAAAGCATCAGAATTTATAGTTTGCACTTTTTGAGAACATGTAGCTCTTTTTTTAGTAGCATTTTCCCAGAGTGCACCTAATGCACTTTGTTTCATAGTATACATTTTGCTTCATTTTCATAGTGTGCACTTTGATTCATAATATGCACTTTGTTTCATTTTTATAGTATGCACATTGATTAATAATATGCACATTGTTTCATGTATGTACATACACTTTTATTCATTTCTGTTTTATAGCTTAGCATTTATTCTTTTTATTTTGAGGCATGTACCTATTAATGTTGTTAAAAAGTGCAAGCATAAAATAAATAAGTTCCAATATTATAACTATGAGGCTGCATTCTTGTAACCTTGCAATACAATATGCCATAATTTTGTATAATTACAGAGGTCCAGATTCGTATGCAGCGTGTGGGAATCTGTGGATCTGATGTCCATTACTGGACACATGGGTGTATTGGTCACTTCATTGTGGAGGCTCCAATGATTTTGGGTCATGAATCCAGCGGTATTGTTTCAGAAGTTGGTGAAGGTGTAGAGCACTTACAAGTAGGTAAGTTAGTTGTGTGCCTGATGCTCCCAATAGAGAGATTTTTTAGCGATGGACGTCATGTGACCTAACTTGGGTGTTGGATATAATCAATCCACTGACACAGCGGTGTTTTACATGGAGATTTCTATCGCAGGCATCCCTTGTTTATTGCTGTAAAGACCGACCATAATTCCCAGTAAACTATACCAAATTCATTGGAAATTAAACTTAAGAATTCTGCCTTAATTATTTGCTAATGTTGAGGATACTGGCTGCAAACATTAAGATTTTTCGACAAATATTAGGCCTAGGCCCCTGCACATCTACGGCATAGTTAGGTATGCATGATGGTCTTTGACCCGCGAACTAGGCTGCGATGTTAGGGCCAGCTAAGGTTTATGAAGGAGCACTTAAATTTCAAAGCATACAATCCAAGGAGAATGCTAGGATAAGTAAATAAACACTATTTTGAACAATCGTATTGTCTTTCCTAGCCAATTACTTCTCGCGTTAACAGTGGGTGGTTGTTTTCGCAACCATAACATTATCTTTTCCTATGCTATGCAGCAGAAGAATCCTATGAACTGATTAGTGAAAATTACAAAAAAAAAGGTAGGTTTTAAGTTGAGTAAAAAATAATTGAGGACAAGTGATATTACGCAGGGAGCAAATTCCAAAGTTAAGGAGCTGAGAAAAACAAAGATCCCTCGCCAGTACGTACATGTCTGACACATGGGACATGAAGCATGTTACAATAAGATGAACGGGTTGGCTGAGAAGTAGTGTGGAGATGGACAATTGAGGAAAGATACGAGGGCGCAAGGCCATTGATGTAATTGAAAGTAGAAGAAGGATCCTAACTTCAGTCTTTGGCTGACAGGAAGCCAATGGAGGTTTTTTAGAATCAGGGGGTTATGAGAAAATTTCCTAGCCATAGAGTTCTGAAGAAGTTGGAGACGCCTAAAATTACCCGAAGACAAACCAAAAAGAAGCGAGTTACAAAAATCAATCTTAGATATAATAAATGCATACTAGTGTGGCAGTAGCAGAAGATATGAGATAGGGCCTAATGGAACAAATTCTACGAAGATGGAAATAACCAGACTTGCAGATAGACGAAATGTATTAGAGAAATCCAATTTTTAAAATGTTTATATCCTTTAGATGCACTTATTCCGTTAAGAGGTAAAATCTGATGGTAATTTATTTTGAAAAATGAAAAACAACACTATGGAAATATATACACACATTAATGTATATCATGGCTTTTTAATTAACAGGTGATCGTGTTGCGATAGAACCAGGTGTTCCATGCCGCATGTGTGCTTTCTGTAAGAGTGGCAGATACAACTTGTGTCGTGACATGGTTTTCTGCGCTACCCCTCCAGTTGATGGCTCACTTAGGAGATTTTACACCCATGCTTCAGACTTCTGCTTCAAGTAAGTTTCTCCTTCCAGTATTAATCAGAGGTTAGTCCTGGCAACTCACAATTTATTCAGTCACAGTTTGACACTACATCATTCCTGATGATGACATAATTAATGTCGAAATATTGAATCCTGACACGATGGCGTGCATTTCGATACTTGGAGTATGTATTATACTATCTTTTCTTAGAAGAATAAATTGCTGTAGTCAGCCATAGTCTACAACAACTCTTTGCTAATGAGGTATTTTTGAGAAATTTGAACCCTGAAATAAAGATAGGAATTTGAAAAGCTCCTTTAAAAGAACCACAAATCATATGTTATCAAATTTACATTTTAAGTCACAAATATAAAAAAGTTTTTATTAAGTGATGGTAATTTAATGTTTCAATCTTCCTCCTCAGATTGCCTGACCATGTTTCAATGGAGGAGGGCGCTCTACTTGAACCATTATCTGTGGCCGTTCATGCCTGTCGGAGAGCTGGTGTAACTCTTGGCAACAATGTTTTGATTTGTGGAGCGGGTAATCTCATTCAAGATGTATTATAATTCAAACTTTTCCAAAAAAAAAAGTTATATATTTTCGTTGTTATAGTATAGTATATTATTATTCAAATATACATTTATAGTAATACTATTCTTGTCCTCATCAGTAACAGTTTTTGTTACTATTCTGTATTATTTTTAACTTGAATATTCATTGCTTTTGTTTCCCTCTTATTACAGGTCCCATTGGTCTTCTGTGTATGTTAGTAGCCAGAGCTATGGGAGCTGCTGTAACGGCCATTACAGGCAAGTCAAATCTAGAGTTTGTCTTGTTATGGTAGTTAAAATCATAAGCAGTCTAGTTAAATAATTTGCAATTACAAACACCTTAAATAAATTTTGTCCATATACCAATCTATCCATTTATTATTATTTATTTATTTTGTCTATATTTCTTTCTGATCATCGATCCACATACTTTCCTGTCTGTCCATGATATATTTTATACTCATTAGTGTCCATTTGTCATAGCGCAGATTTTTTAATCTGTATTTAGCAGGATAATAGGTCTATAATTCATTAAATGGTCAGTATCTTCGCCAGGAATACGAACTAAGGTAATATTCCTTTGCACTGTTCATAAGGACAGACGATTATGCACAATGTTTAGTGAATGGACAACATATTTCCTATAATGGGCCAGAAGTGTTTATAAAAGTCGCTAGAGAAACCATCGGTACCCAGGGATTTACCATTTGCATAGAAAACTGTCTTGTTGGCTTTCCACTAGTGAGGGAGACTATCAAATATATTAAGATTGACTCTCTGACAGGGGTAGGCGAAGGTGGAGTTGCAAAATAAGTTGATATGAGGTAATTTTTAACTACTTGAGCATGATTTTTTTTGCTTCAGCTTCGGTGGAAGACTGTAGAGGTTTGTGCACCCCCTTGATATGCCACTGCTTAAGATGAATCTTGATTAGCCCAAGTAAAAATAATGATAGTGTTGGCCACGTCCGACCGACCTAAAATGTACAAAACTGAGTTTTGGAATTTTATTTTTTTTTATTTTGGTTTTTTTTTTTTTGACTACCACGAAATATATTTTTTTTTATGAGCTAAAAAGGCTGGAATAGGTTTATCTTGCTGGACGGTAGGTGATGCGACAGTGTTATGTGATTGTTTTGCTCTCAGTATAGATTTAAAAATAGTCTTTGTAGTATTTTTGTGTATTTTCTACTTTTTAGGCATAAACACATTATAGGAATAAAAAAGATAAATAAACTTTTCCTACCAACCTACCATTTTTTTCGGATTTTCCCAAAACATGGCCAACACAAGAATATTTTTTTTTTTGGACTTATTCATATCAATGAATGTTGTACAGGATAAACATTCAGAGAGTAATCCTGTGATATTCTAATCTGTGTCAAGTGTAACATTCGGATCTTGTAACTTTCACATTACCACAATGTTTTGTAGTATTCCGGAAAATATTCCAAACCAATAATACTCCAAATTACATCCACCTTCCATCATTAATCATCAATCAGATTATATGACTAAATAGCAGACTATAAAATTCTAAGTCCTCAAGGTTACTCAGTAGTTTCATACTGTTCGCTAGTAGCGACGCAGTGGAGGGAGGGGCTTAAATCCTCGTGTCAGACATGTTAAGCTCTGTCTTTGGCCACAATTACCAAAAGTACTAGGAAAATTTGTTGTTTTTTTTTTTTAACTTAGGCATGCATAAACATCTCAGAAATGCTTAAAATTGCCCAAAATTGCACGGCCAACCACAGGAATAAATGCAGGAAGAGGCAGAGGAGAGATTGCTAGGCCAATGAATGAATAAATGGAGAGACATAAGGACAGATGAGCAAAATGAATGGGGTTGGGTGACAGAAGAAAAAACAGGAGAAAAAAAGAATTTCCCAGAATCAGTTAACAATTTCCAATCGGGGTCTTATAATTTCTGCTACTGTTGTGGAATATTTTCATCATCTACTGAACGCCTTTCTGTGGTTGCTGCTACAGTAGTCGCAAAACCACGCTTGCCTGTATGCAATTTCAGCACAACGACGCTGCGAGATGTGGGTTATTCTAATACATTTACCCTTTAAAAGTCTTTCAAACAATTTAAAATTAACTCAACATATAAGTTGCATTATTGTTTTAGATATTGATGAAGGAAGACTAAATAAAGCAAAGGAGCTTGGGGTAAATTTCACTGTCAAAGTTGACACCAAAGATGGTAAGGTGATGGCAAGCAAAATTGAAGAAATTATGGGCTGTCAGCCAGATGTGACAGTAGAATGCAGTGGAGCAGAGCCTAGTGTACAAACAGCAATTTATGTAAGTATGTTTAGTTTGTACTTAGTATTGTGTATTCATAAATTTTAATTACCTCTGATTATAAAATAACATCAAATGTACAGTATAGGGCTCCATATTTATTTTATGATCATTGACTTTTGATCATTAACATCTGTTTATGCAGTTCTATGAAAAATATAATAAAGTCATTACTATATAAGATTTTAATTTATGGCAATGGCTATTTTTACAGCAGTCATAAATTCTTAATTCCTATTGAATGTAATTGTTGGTATGGATTTGTTTAGGGTAATAACATCCAATCAGAATTAGGAAATTGTTTAAGACTATTGTAACAATAGCTACTACCTTTATTTATATATAATTAATTGATATTGATACATTTTTTTCCGTGAAATCGATGCTCTTATAGTTCTGTTCAAGTCAACGAGCATAGCTTGATTATTTGAACTCTTATTAAATGTTTCCTTGAATTTGAGATTGAAGTTTGTTATAATCATAGGTTTGGTGACTTTCTACATAATAATCATCAAAATATGTCCATTAATGGTTGATCACCTTTTTTTAAGCTACCACTTCGCCTTTTGGCTAAGATCATGTCTATATTGTTAACCAATTAGTTATTCAGTCACCTAGTTTGAGAAAAATATAATCTGGGTTAAAACCATATATCAACCGCATATATTGTCTTTGTTTTTTCCACATTCAGTCAACAAAATCTGGAGGCATGGTTGTTCTTGTAGGAATGGGACCACATGAAATGGTTTCAGCGCCATTGATAAATGCTGGGGTCCGAGAAGTAGACATCAGGGGAATATTTCGTTATGCCAACTGGTAAGCTGTGGTGTACTTTTATAAATTATGATAGTAGAGTTTTCCATTATCATTGTTTTAAATGATAGGGTCATCTATGTGGTAGTGATTTTGTGCCAATAACTGACAGAAGATTATGAATATAGCGATGTTTATATAATTATAACGCATACTATTACTACTGACGCCTATAGGTGCTGCATATATAATAATAATGATGTTGTAGTGGTGATAATAGTTAACAAATAGTACAATGTATTTTTGTAATTATTGTCATCATCATTAATATTTTAATTACTGTAATGTAATAATATAACAATAGTATAATGATATAATAATATTTGAACATATGAAGAAGATTCCCAGTCTTGTATTATTAACTGACAATAAAAAGGATGAATGGTTTTTCACTTGGTTTATGTATCACAATAAATTAACCTCTCAAATTAAATCCACATTGTAATACCAGTAATATAATATTATGTAAAGTTTTATCATAATTTCTTATTTTATAGCTATCAAATTGCATTGTCTATGATTGCCTCTGGACAAGTGAATGTGAAGCCATTAATAACTCATCATTTTGACTTGGAAGAAACAGTGGATGCATTTGAGACGGCAAAAACTGGTGCAGGGGGTGCTATTAAAGTTATGATTCACTGTGGAGATGATAACTAACTCCATTGTTAAGCTCTGTTCCCAGTATCAAAAAACATATATATGCCCATATAAAGTCAGGATGTGCCCATATATGGTCAGGATGTGATGTCATCATGACCATATATAGGCATTTGATAAACTGAACAGGGCTTTATTTTTAACAATATACAAATCCCTAAATGTTTATAATCCCACTTATTGTAAATTATACCCACGATCTCAGTCAAATTTGTATGCTTCAGTGATTTTGAAACATAAATTGTGTTTCTATTCACTACTATACATCACTGCCTATCACATGGTACAGCCCACTTACTGTAATATAGCTAACTCAGCAGCTGATAAATTTTTATTCCAAATCCTTCACATCACATCCTACCAGGTACCCATTGGAACAAAGATTTTCTTTTGATTGAGACTGGTGGCTGTTTCCTGTGTGTTTCTTTTTGTCACATAACTGTACTAAAAGGTCATGTAACAACAAGTAAACACAACTTGACAGCTGATGAGGGTACCAAGAATGTACTGAACTGTACTGAGAAGAAATATTATATCACAGTTTTTGAAAGGTTACACTTTTCTATTTTGATTATAACATGACAGAGTTAGATGATAACTTCAAATCCATTTTCATTATTGATGTTATTACTCCTACACAATATTTGATTATTTTAAATATTATAATTACCATAGTAACTTTACCAACTTTATACGGTAGATCAATTATGTATCAATTAAAAAGTATACTGTAAATAGCAACTTATATGAAATAGATGTTCATCAATTATGTATTGCATTTCTGTAACTGCTTAAATACCATAAAGTATATGTTGTAAAAAAAAGTATAAAATTATAAAAAGGATTATTGGTTGTATGATAAAACAATCAACATAAACAATAAAACATAAGATCTTATAAATCTAGTCTTATTTGGATATTTTCCTGATTTTTAAGCCGGTTTTACAGTCACACAGCAATCAGCACACTAATCGTATCTGTCCCCGACATGATGGAGAGGGCTTCCCCGATTCATTGCCAACAAAGTTGATGTAGAACTAGGCTGGCCAACCCTCTTGACAAATTATGCTAAAGGTCATCAGCTTCTCCAGTTATCACACTGATTTTCTCGAAACAATTTTCATTTATTTATTTGTTCCGGTAAGCATTTACAAACAAACTATAATGAACAATAAGCAATACAGTACTGTACAATGAAAAAATGTCAAATTAATACCTGGGGGAAAACCAATAGTGAACTTAACCACTTTCGAAGGCATCCCAGCATAAATTGACAGAAATGAAATAAAACGCTTAACAAAAATAACATTTTTTATCATTTAAATTTTTAAAAGGACAGAATAGATCATGGAGCTCCTATATTCAAAACCAAAGGAACACATGCATGAGCGAGAATCAGTGATCACAACGAGCAACAATGCCTACCACGATCAGGCAGACACCATTGTCCGATGATATAACTCGTGGACATCAAACACACAGCACCCTCGACGGACACATAAGAGCATTGATGCCGAGCTACTGAATACAAATCAAATATTTCCATCGTTTATATGATAAAAGCATGACTGAGTTTTGGATTATAATGCTTGGTTTTTTACAAAATCGCTACACTCAATCGTCAACACTTTTCAGTGATGCTGATTGGTTGGTCGTATCGGGGAACATTCCAGATTGCGTGGGGGACTGCTACGCTAGTGCAGCGATTACATCAAAATACTGTAGCGTGTGTGGCCAAAAAAAATAAATAAAGAAATCAAGTGAATTTTTAATTCTGAGAGTGCTTTCTGGTCATAGTATTGCAATACCTATATAATTTCTAAAAATCGGCACCATCCATCGCGAATCTGATGAATATGGAATTTTCTGCATCTGTATAATAAAATAATAATTTAATAATTAAGTATGAATAGTAAATGAATATTAATATGTAGCATAGGTTCAAAGATCGAGCCCGAGAACAAATGAACGAAGTTTGGTACAACCGTGGGAAAAATAATCAATGTCAACTTGATTCAAGGATGAAATATACTGTATATTATAATTATATAAAAAACTACGTTTACAGATACTAACACGACTAAAGGAGACAGAAACAGTGGACAATTACATGGGAAGGCTCGTGATCAAGCGAGTGGCACTAGCTGGTGGAATGAGGTGGTTTTTTGCGTCAACTTTTCACTTTTCAGCATATAACATGCCTTGAATCACATTCTTGTATTTAAGACCTAAGATTTGCTCAAAATCCTTAACGGTAGTTGTGGTGAACAGTAATATATATGATGAGGATGTCATTATTATTATTATTATTGCTATTGATATTTTATCATTGTTTTACATTGTTTCTTAATAGCCATTCCGACCCTCTTATTGCTTTAGTTTAGTGAAGTCGTAGTAGAAATAAAAAGTTTTTGGGGCTGAGGTGGTAGACCCTCATCTGCCAAAGTCCCTCCCTGGGCGGGCCCCATCAATTTTATATTCCTGGATCCGACACTGTGCTCATTAATTTAGTGCATATGGGTAGTGTGAGGTGGATAATATCTAGGCCGAATTTACTTCAAAGTTTTGTCATCAAATAGACCAAACAGCGTTCCTGATAGACTAAAGATTTGATACACCATTAAAAAAAAACCAAGGCGCGAATCCTATTTTGACAGAATTAGTTTAAAATTTGAGTTACAGCCTAAGTATACTGACTTTATTACAGCTTATATAAAGGCCTGATATATGTTAATGAAGCACACAGTATGATGCATTTGAGACAACTAGGGCTAGCCTATATATTTGTCTCGGGATATGTAGTCAGTGAAGTAATATTTATTACTTTTGCTAAAATAATAGATAGGCGCGAATTCTATTTTGACAGAATTAGTTTAAAATTTGAGTTACAGCCTAAGTAGGCCTATCCTAACCTTATTACAGCTTATATAAAGGCCTGATATATGTTAATGAAGCACACGGTATGATGCATTTCAGACAACCAGGCCTATATATTTGTCAGGCCTATATATATGTAGTCAATGAAGTAATATTTATTACTTTTGCTACATTAATAGGTATATTGAACGTCAAAAACTTCACATAATTTATCACCTTAGAGAGATTAGCATATTTTCATTTTAAAGAGTTAGAATAAATATCGTTCACAAAAAAAGTAGATTTTTTTAAATCTGCATTTGCACAGATAAAGTTTTTGTGTCACAAATATTGGTTAAAATTTTTATATAAATATCAGAAAAAATACATATATATTATTTAAAGATATTATATTTGAAGACAAAATACTATTATATATTATTTAAAGATATTATATTTGAAGAAAAAATACTATTATATATTATTTAAAGATATTATATTTGAAGATGATTATTATTTAACACTCGATTGCTGTGCACTGCTACCCTGTGCTAAACCACTTTGAAGCATGACACTATAGTGTGTCATATGTAGTTATTCATACGCGAAAACATTACAGTATTTGTAAAGATGTATTCTTTATTTAAGACTTAAATATTATTTACTATTTGTATTGTAGATAGTAATTGTTATTGTCGTGATGGAATAATAGACAATAACTGGATTTGCGTCAGGAGAAACATGTATAGGTGTAATTTTACCCTACCTGACGTGGAAATGTACCGAATACTCAGTACATTTGAAAACAACTGCGAAAAAAAATAGCAATTTATTTTCGCAGTTGTTTACATATGTACTGAGTATTCGGTACATTTCCACGTCAGGTAGGGCAAAAATTACACCTATATTTGTGTTGTAGATATCTAACGGAAGCTGTTAATTCTTTTACTGATTTATATTTTCACTTGAAATCTAATAAATCATAGAAATATAGAAAGTGAATAATTCTGTTTTATTATGTACGTGGCAGTATCAGTAAAGCATAGTCGTTATCGGTTCTATTTGAACGAAAACACTGATACCATCAACACGCCCCCTTCTCATATTCTCATACTGTATATCATACCATGGCACTAGAAGGAGGTAACTTGTCGGCGGTGCTCAGAAGAAAAGGGGAGCTCGTGCTTGTAAGTTTATTACTAAACCCTATTAAATTCCAGGCCGTATCTTTCGGTTAATGGTGTATTGATATGCTGTTCGCCCTCCAGTTCGAGATCAGATTTGGGACCTGAAGTGGTCTCATGATTCGCAGTTTCAGTGTCCACACAGAGGGTTAGTTTAGTGCTAATAGATTGAAGATTGTTAGGCCTATTTGGTTCTTCGGAAAAAATAGGTCTCGAATTAGAGGATCTCGAATTGGATTGTACGGTATTATTGTAGGGAGACGGTACTATTTCTTTTTATTGCTGTGGGCTGTAAAATAATGGTACAGCAAGATGTATCCATGACACGTCTCCTATATATATGGCCTGGTTTTAACAACTTGATTATAGTTGTTTATTTGAAGTGTACTTGATATGATATGACAGGTATGTGTATAGCAAGAATCTTCCTCCAATATGTTTCTTTGCTCTATGCTCCAACTTGCACAAAACAATAAGAAATTAATACAGTATAATGCCTTCCTTATGTCAGGGTTTTGGGATACGTGACGCAAGATGTATTGGTAATATTCGCTCATATCGATAGCCATTATTATATAAACAATTGCTTGCGATGACCTCGATTATTGATGTATTACTGAGTCAATAAACAAATCATTTGTAGAGTGAAAAAATACTGAAGAGTGCTTATAAAGCCGAATATATAAGAACGAAATAAAATGAAAATAGAAAGTATATATGTATATATGTATATATATATATATATGCGAGTATGACAAATATAGGTGCCCCCAACCGGGATTAGAACCCGGGACCTTCTGTTGACAGCATAGGTCATTGATGCTTTGTTGGGAATTCAAATCCGTTTAAATCATCTAATTCTTTCACACTCATACGCATGCGTATTACACAGCACTAGTCCTTGATGCATGGCAAATAACTGATTAATTATACTGTTCGTATCTTATTATCTATTCAGGAGGACACACCGATACCTAAACCGGGAAAGAATGGTAACTTCATTTTCTCACAATTTAACCTTTTAGATTGATTGATTTTATATAAAAACACTACATAACAGTTATGCATACAGTGGTATTATTATGATGATTAGATGTTATTGAGGCCTATTGTAGAACCACTCAAAATAATTGTTATCATTATTTTAAAATAATTAATATCAACAGTTATATTTAGTTAATTTTGCATTTTAAACTAATTACAAACAGTGCACAAAACAGTAATTTAATTGGAGATTATTATTTGGTTTTTTAAATTGGTATGTGGTTTATTTTCGATAATGTTTATGAAGACAAAAAAGATTATAACGGGACTTTTTTTATACAATAGGCCGACATTTTTACGCTATAGGAATTCTTCTTCTAACATTCAGTTACATTCTAAGTCCTATATAAATTATCATGTAGGCCAATTTACGTCCATGCGACGACGTCAGTAAGTTCTACTGTAAAAAAGTCTATGTGAGTGTTTATCTAATAGCAGATTGACAACTTGTACTACATAAGCCTTCAATTCTAGGCCTACAGTATGATATTGCTTGCCTGGTGTTGTTGTTTTCACAGAGGTCCAGATTCGTATGCAGCGAGTGGGAATCTGTGGATCTGATGTCCACTACTTGCAACATGGGCGTATCGGTCACTTCATTGTGGAAGCTCCAATGATCTTGGGTCATGAATCCAGTGGTATTGTTTCAGAAGTTGGCGAAGGTGTCGAGCACTTAAGAGTTGGCAAGTAACTTTGTGCACCCGATTCTCTGAATGTACAGTATTAGTAAATCTAGCGTTTATTATTTTAGAAGTTGGAGAAGGTGTAACACTGTAACTAACATCAAAGTCGATAGAACTGCCGGTGAGACCATAGCTCCATGGTTTAACCTGTAATTTCACTGTTCCCTGGTTTAACCAACCATCCCTCACCATCGCATGAGATCGTTTTTACGGAATCTCTGTTCCTATAACATCGCCCTCTATATCATGATAAGATTCTTAGTGTATTATGCAATATATAAAACGCTTTTAATAAAACCATATCTCAAAGTTTTTTTTATTTATTTTTTTAATGATGACCAGGAGCAGATCCATGTTATAAAAATAAAAAAACACAAATGATTGTGAAACAACAGGTGTGAGTCGGTTTCCATTGTTGCCCAAAAACCAGGATCTGCATTGGCTGTACGTCTATTCTAAGACGAAATCGTCATGGAAAGAATTTAATTTTAAAATTATACGATGGCTGACCACTCTAGTAGTATGCCTATAACAAATACCACGCAATGCCAAATTGTCTTAGGAACAAATTTATTTCTACGTCGTCCTTTTGAATCTGCATCGATATAAGATTCTGTAAACCTAATTTAAAATTCATTTCTTGGGACTAGCGCTCCACATTTCCCTATTAACTCTCACCCCATCATCTAAAAACGTTGATACCCTTGGATACACCCGGCCCCTGCGCAAAGGAACTTCTCATAAAGAGTCGTATATTTATTCTATATTCTATCATTCCTAACATTGACAATGATTTACTTTCGTCTGCTTCAAGGTGACCGAGTGGCCATTGAACCAGGGGTGCCCTGTCGTATGTGTTCATTTTGTAAAGACGGACGGTATCATCTGTGTCCAGATGTCATATTCTGCGCCACGCCTCCATACCATGGATCTCTGAGACGCTACTATACACATGCAGCAGACTTCTGCTTCAAGTAAATGAATCTGTTCCTTTCTAAAAGTATACACGTTCTGTACAAGGCCTTCTTTCAAACCAATGACTCTATGCCAATAGAATCATTCATCAAAAGCACTTACAAATGCATTTTTCTTAAACATAGGCTACCGGACCATGTAAGTCTTGAGGAAGCTGCTCTCTTGGAACCTCTTTCTGTCGGAGTCCATGCATGTAAACGTGCTGGTATCACTCTTGGTCAGACAGTCCTCATATGTGGTGCAGGTATTACATATACCAATACCGTAAAACATCGAATAGAAGCCTTGTGGTTCTTTTTCTTTTAATTTGGTTTTAATTTATTTTTATTTCTTCGAGATTCATGTACAGTGTATGTACTGTACTATCTCGAAAGAGAAGCCTAAACTATCTTGGAAAGAATCACATGGGCTTCTTTTCGAGGCTTTAAGCCCATTGTGCTTCAATTCGAGGTTTTACAGTATCTAAGATGACATTTGACGTACAAACATGTTTTAGTCAGTGCACTGGAATCACAATGCAATACCATCATAATGTTAAATATTGTGTCTTCTACATTTAGCCTAGACGTACAACATAAATACATTAATTTGGAGAAGACGAATTATGCCCATTAAAACTTTTTCAGTCGTGTAGCATATTAATCATTGTAGGTCTAAACTTCTAAAAAATCTAAAAAGTCGCTGGTAATTAAGGTCTATTAAAAAAAAATGAGCTTTCAGATTTTTAAAAAATATATTTGATAGGCCCAATTGGACTAGTATCAATGCTGTCGGCCAAAGCAATGGGGGCTGCTGAAGTTGTGATGACAGATCTCGATGAGAAGCGTCTAGCAAAAGCTAGAGAGATGGGGGCCACATACACAGTCAAAGTCGATAGTAAAGACCCAAAGATTGTAGCAAAAAACGTAGAGGGAGCGCTCGGTGGAATGCCGGACGTGACGATCGAATGCAGTGGTGCGGAACCAAGTGTCCAGATGGCATTTTATGTGAGTGGTGTCAATCGCATGATCTAATATATAATTTTCAATTGTTGCATAATTTGGTGTGATATCCTCATGCTTCTCTGGTTAGATTTAAAAAAAAGAGAGAAAAAAAAACTTGCTATAAAATTATGGCCTAGGCCTACATTTTCTTTATTGTTCCGAGAATAACAGGCGATCTCATACATCACGTCCAAACGTGATAGGTGAAAGTATAAATTTGCTACTAAATTTGAAGATCATTTTATTATTAATTCCAATCCAAACCATTTTTTTTCCTTAAATTTAGGGTACAAAATCCGGAGGTGTTGTCGTTTTAGTTGGCCTAGGCCCTAATGAAATGGCCACCCTTCCGATAGTGAATGCCGCATTGCGAGAGGTTGACATCCGTGGTGTGTTCAGATATTGTAACGAGTAAGTAGAACTACTATTGTACTACCATGATGTAAAATAAGCACACGTATTGCTAAACACGTTTTTGTTTCTAATTCTCTTTATTGTTTTTTTTTCACACAATTGAAATAAATTATACAATATACAGTAATGGGAAAATGGTAAAGTATTATTATTATTTTAAATAACAGACAGCAATAATTACTAAATAAGGTATAAAGTATTGGTGTGAAAGGAAGTCATAATAAGTTATAAAACCTTTAAGGCACGACCACCAAATAATCAGTCGCATGCGACGTAGTGGGCCTAATAAATAACGCGTCAAAATCACGTAAACACCTTTACCCAAAGCGGGACAAAATTTTCGTGGAGCCTTGTATTTAAACCCTCTTTATAAGATGTGTATAAGAGACAGCTCTAGTAGTATGCCTATAACAAATACCACGCAATGCCAAATTGTCTTAGGAACAAATTTATTTCTACGTCGTCCTTTTGAATCTGCATCGATATAAGATTCTGTAAACCTAATTTAAAATTCATTTCTTGGGACTAGAGCTTCACATTTCCCTATTAACTCTCACCTCATCTGTACGTCTGTCTCTTATACACATCTAGATGTGTATAAGAGACAGATATATATGTATGTATGTATAGTCGAGATTGTTTGTAAAAGGGTATCGCGTCTTACGGAATTGAATCGATTAGCCGAATACAGTATGCTACGACTATTCGAGTTTGTTTCTGATGTTAACCATGTAATTATAATACCACTCACGGCACGGGCACTATTAGCACTGACGAATCCGATATTAAATTTAAAAGGAATTGGATCCACTCAGCGTGCGACTTCTCAACACTTGACGCTGTGACGTTGACAATTAAACACGCTTATCTTAAAAAGACGCTTGGTCGACGACTTTATTTTTCCGTAATGTAGTCTGGTCGATAAGAAATCGTATCGTTTCTTTTGTCGGGAAATTGTTAAGATGCACTTTTAAAGTGGCCTGTCCATAACAACATTACGATACCAACTATGTTTTTTTAACGGCTCTTCAGATATTGATCGTTACTGACCTCTATGATTTGATTGATATTGTAACATATTTAATATATTATAACATATTGTAACATATTTAATATATAATAAATCACCCTCATACATATCCAACCTGATTAAACTTCGCTCCACCACTTGTTCTAGAGCTTTAAGATCTACATCTAGTTCATCTACAATATTCATCCCTTCATGTCGTACAAGAACGTATGGTGAAAGAGCATTTTCCGTTGCTGCTCCCAAGGTGTGGAATAGCTTGCCTATCTTTGTTCGTGAGTCTCCTTCTGTTGAGATATTTAAAAATCATCTCAAGACTCATCTCTTTAGTTTATTTTAATTTGCAAATTTCTAGCGCATAGAGACATATGTATTTTACGCTTTACAAATCCAAATTATTATTATTGTTATTATTATTATTATTATTATTTGAGTGAGGGTTTTAAATTGCGTCGGACAACATTATCCGTAACCGAACGAACGTACTCGGAAAGCGTGTGGTTCATGTGTGATCATAATCTCCGGCAATTTTGACATAATTCGAACACTTTGTAACCAACCCACAGGTTTTGTTTGTGCAAGTGCAGGAGGTAAACTAAATTAGTCGACTTATAACCATAGGGTCCATTAACTGTACATCTTTTGGAATAACTTAACGAAACTATAGTATTCGTGCATATTTTATCATTGGCCTTATCAGCAATAATTGAATTTTCTAAGGGCGCCTTTAAGCGCTCGTGTATTTAGCGCCAGTCAGTTCACTTTCTAAAAATGTATTTTGCGATACACACCACACGATAACGTTCCACAATTAAACCAGCGTACAACGTAGCTGCATACGTTAACTGCATTCAACCGTTCATAGTGATATGATCGCTTCTTACACAGTGGCCACATTAGGGAGTCGCATCGTCTATTGCCTCATTTTACCGAGTCAGTTCGCAGAGTAGACAACATCGCTCATATGTATAGAAATGATTCTCTTTTAACTTTTGTGAAATTCTTCGCTTTCGTAGCAACGATAGAACATCATCTGCTTTATTGAGATCTTGTATCATTGACCATTGATATTGGATTTTCAAAAGCTGTACTAACAGCTGAAATAAACATGGGCAAGATTAAGAACTTCTGTATATGTTTTGACGATGAAAAGGAAGTGTATTACGCAGGAGATGTCGTGTCAGGCCATGTGATGCTAGAGCTTTCTGAACCTAAATCTCTAATAGGTAAGTGTAATTTTAAACTACTGTATACCGGTTATTTATTTTTTCGATTTTTCCCTTTCACATCCAACAACACTCGCCCCCTTTGGAATGAAACTGTCACTATGCTTACAAAACGTCTGTTTGTGGCTTGGAATAAAGTGCAGTTGGTTTTTGTCTCTGTCTCTTATACACATCTAGATGTGTATAAGAGACAGTATATATATA